TGACTGTTCTTGGAGTTGCAAAGGAATTGTTCTGCCAGCCAGAAGAGCACAAGGAAAAGCAACAAGGGACATACACTGATGGATCAGCTGCTGCCAAGAGCTTTCATTATTTACAGGATTTTCAGGACATAGCAAATTCAATTGAAAAGCCTGTGTAGCTCATTTATTTTGTTTTATCTGCCTTTTTTGTTTTACCCCCCTGTGGAAAATGGTTGGACTATACCAGGATTGAAAGGAAATCCTGGCCAAGATGAAAATGCCAAATGGCTGATTGTTCCAATGAAAGCTGATCATTTGAAGCTGTTTCTTCCTTTGAGTTCAAATGCTTCAACCCTCTACTGTGGCCTCCTGGAACATGAGTCTCAACAAGGGGTTTTCTATAGATCAGCCACTCATATAAAGGCAAGAGCGTCATGTCACCCTGCATATTTCTAGTTGTACTGGAGGATCAGATTTCTTGGATGCACCTAGTCCAAAATTCAGTTCCAGTGAGGCTAATATTAAGCATGGGTCACTGCCTGACCTCAGGAATCTAAGCTACAACAACATGGGCTCCAAATTAAAGTTATATTTGTAGGGAATTCATATGATCTCTGATAAAAATGCAGCATCTCAGATAAATTACTCACCACTGGGAAGTCCTGTGACTAAGGCTTCTCCTTAATCCAAAATCCATTGCTCCTAGGTCTAGGTTTAACACCAGTTTATTTGTCGCAGAGGATCATGGGAAACACATTTCAATGCACCTTGTTAAAATAGGTTAGTCACAGTTGTGGTGGGACAGAGGTAAGGTTAGGGTTACCTCTTTCAAATTTTGTCTTTGGGATAAAACTGTTGTGTTACCATTCCAATGCAGATGTTATCACAGTGTGAGGCAACATCATGGTATGAGTGACGTCATGTTGGCACTGCAGAAGTTTTGGAATGCTTGTAGATGGTTCTTGATAGTCTTACCAAATTCAGAACGGTCCCTAAAGACTGGTATGTATTACAACCACTCTAGGCATTGTGAGCCAAACCCATCCCTGATATAACTCCATTCATGTCCATGGAATTACCCCAGGGATGAATTTGACACAGATTTTTTGTTTTTGTTTTGATAAATTGGATGTAAAGCACATTAATCAAATCAAGAAATCCAAATTTAACTCTTCCTAGAACTCCTTCTGTTGGTTCTAAGGTTAGCATCACTCCAGACAGCTCAGCTGAAGAAGGTACTTGCTCTAGGCTTAAGTACTATAGAAGGTTTTTCTATAGTATTTACAGGTTTCTTTGGAGGATGATTCACCAGGAAACTACTTCTGCTGGAGGGGTGTTCTCCTGATCTCCCTGAGAACATATCTCCATGAAGTCAGGTAAGGCTGTCAGGGGAGATTTCCATTTCCAAAAGAGATGCTTGGAATTGGCTTCTTGTGTTGATATTTCTGCCATTCACAGACCTTTTTTTAAGGTTCTACTACTTCATATAAGAACAGAAAGAACATCCAGTAATTCTAAGTCATCTTTAATAACATTGCTTTTCCTTTCCTTCTCCCAAGGGCATGTCTTCCTCTTGTCATAAGTACATTCTGATGGCGAGGTTGACTTGCCAAACTGACAGAGTTAAATACCCTTTAGCCGGATGTCACTAAAAAAATCAACTTTGACTTGAAATCTCCCTGTTGCTCCTGTCATGTCTGGTTGTAGTTTGCCCAGCATGATCTCTGCCCTCTGGGAAAAAATGTGCTTATAACAAGACGAAAGGGACTCATTGCCACTGAGATTTTACCAGATTTGTAGAAATGATAATTTGCCTAAAAGACAAACTGAAGCTTTACAAAGCTCATCTACTTATATCATTTGTGCAAGCAAATTCCTGTGGAAAGATGAACTCACAAAGTTCTGCTAAAAAGTACAGGTCAGATCTTCAGATAGAGTAAATGAGCATTGTTCAACGGAAGCCAAATGAGCAAAAAAAAAAAGCCTATTAGGAACTGAAGATATGGCCCTATAAACTTGTTTGAAAGAGTCAGCATTCTTCATACAAGAATTACCCCTGTATTTTACAGCAAATTGAGCTAATCACTACTTCCCTATTATCAGGCTAAATCCTGATGTCCTTACTCAGCCTCTCCTCAAGGAATACACTCGTTGAACTTATTATGTAGGAATCTCACAATTTGACCTATTTTTTTACATGGGGTATTTTGGTTTACATGAGGATTGAACAAGGACTTAATAGGAACTTCAGGATTTGGTACATCCTAACAATCTGAACTTCAGACTTGTTGCTGCCTGAGGGGGAGACATGACAACTACAATAAACTAGAGATGGGCCCAAGCACCAAAGTTCAGATCCAGATCTGAACTTCCCTAAAGCTGGAGAGTTTTCAGATCCAGATTATTGGTTCAGGCCCATTATTAAGACAGGAACCATTGGCAAAATGTGGATCTCAGTCAAGATTTGGGTTTGGATTTCAAACACGCTGGTGTGGCCTCTTATTATCCTGGTGGCAGGGAGCATCTTCCATTTCCCTGACGCTTGGAACAGTACCAATGGGGCCTAGAGGAACCTGCACTCAGTCTTCTTTTGGCCAAAGAAAAGTCTGCTGAGATTCTAGTCTTTTTTGGAAGAAGGAATGTGAACCCCCTCTCCATAAAACTGTATTGGTTTCAACTTCCCACTACGTTTGAGATGTTCTCAGATATAGTGGAGAGTGGCAACTGCAGAGAGATGGCTGCATCTCCCTCCTTGATCCTCAGCTGTCCAACCCTGGTGGAGCTTAGAACAGCAATGGGCCTATCTTAATTTCCACCACAGTTGAGGATAAGGTGTAAAGGAGCTTTGCTCCACCATGCACCTTCTTGTCCAGGCCCAGCCCCTGGAATTCCCCTGACATGTCCTGTCCTTACACTTTGGGTAGGCAGATAGCTGGAGCAGAAAGTAGCAGGGTGGAATTTTCCACTGGTCATCTCTGGCTATTGTAGGCCCACTTTGCACCCCACAGAAACATATATCTAAGAACCTGATTACCTACAGAATTGAGTGTTAGCCTCAGTATCCTGGCCACTTTCCAATTAAGGTAATTCTACTCTAGCTGTCAAAATCCCCCCTGCAGTTTCAACATAGGACAAGTCATCTTTCATGTCTCCGAAACCCATGAATGTGTAGTGTCTCTTGGCACTTTCAGATAGCCACCACTTTTCACCCTGAAGGTGGGGTCAGTGCTGGAAAAGTGATCCCTACATACACAGATCATGAAGTGCTTTAGGATCCTTTGGGATGAAAAGCATGATATGAATGCACATTGTAATATTAAATTATATTATATATAGGTGACTATATAGACATTATAATACATTTGCCATTTTTATTATTATTTGTATTATGCTCGCGCCTAAGGACCTCACCGTGACAAGCAATATACACACAAAGGAAAAAAGAGACAGTCCCTGCCACAAAGAGCTCACAATTTAAGTATGCAAAGGACAACAGGTGGATGCAGCAGACAGATGGAGGGAGCACAAGGAAAAAGGATAAGTAATTTTTCGTGAGCTGGGTGATGAAAACAAACTGCACTTGCAAATAACTTTGTGCACACCAGATAAGTAATTACAGATAGTGTCAACTATTGACCAATATTATGGGGCCTAAATTATGCTTGTATAGTATAGGTCCCAGGGAGCTTGGGACATATTTGTGCCTCCCTGAGTTCTCCAGTTTGCAAGGGGACTGTGCAGGCTGTACCACAGGTGTGCTGGGCCTGTTCTGCAGGGCAGTTGAGGTAGTGATGTCACTTATAATCCCACCTACCACTTCCTCCCTTTGGCGTGACATATGCTCCTGGGTGCACACTGACGTAGCATTCTGCCTGCAATTGTGACCAGCCCTTGTGAGAGCCAAGCAAGAGGGCGAGAGAAAATGCCTTTTCCCTCTGCCATAGTTCAGCACATAATATTTTAAATACCTTCCAGAAATACTGTCTCGCATATTTTGCATATGTGCCCAATAGATTTTATGACCCAGGGCATTTTTTCTCACTGAGGTACTTCTATGTCATCATTAACATTTTTATAAGAAGAGATACCATGCTATGTACAGTAATCAGAGCTTGATGTGCAGTGCAAATCCCATTAGTCCTGATAAAAGCATTGTGCATTGAACTGAGAACATATCCAGAATTCCGGAATCTGGATCCATCACTTTTAAATGGATACTTTTCAAAATAAAAATATGGGGCCCAATGCTGCAACCCTTGAGGCGTGCAGGTTTGTGACCACAGATATATATTTAAATTATTTTACCTGTTTTATTAATAACACCTTAAGTAATTAAACCTGAAAGAATTCTGAATATCAAAATGATTTTACATAATATATGATGTTTGCTTGCTTTTTGCATGTCACTCAGCTCATTAAATCAGACGAGTCAGTTTCACTCTTTGGTTCTCATGTGCTAGATAGAACAATGTCATTCTGTCTGGGTTTCTATCAATACAGGAGAATGTTTAATTAAAAAAAAAAACGGTTTTCATCAACTTTTTAAAAAGTAAATTATAGGGCTTGTCTACATGGGGAGTGATTCCAGAATAGCTATTACTGATTAACTCCATGTGCAGACATTCATATTCCAGAATAAGAGTGCCTTATTCTGAAAATCTTATTCTGGAATAAGAGTGTCCTCAGATGAAGTTAATCAGGAATAGTTAATCCACTTCAAACTTATTCTGCTTTAATTTTCATTTGTAGATAAGACCATGGAAACAGTTCTTTTTATAGTGCACCTGATTCTGGTCTAATTAACACCTGTGTAAATCCCAAATCTCTCCACTGAGATCAAGAGTCACTCTGGATTTACCTGACTGAGATCAGAATATGGCCTATTAGGTTTCATAACTCCCCACGTACCATTTTCTTGTTTAAAACCCCTTAAGTTTGCATTTAAAATATTTGGACTTAACCCTTTAAATCAATCTCGCTTGCAGTAGAAGCAACATCAATATCTTTATATATGTACTCACGCCAGCCTAGCACCGCAGTTTTCTCCTTCAATATCTGCTCCCGCCACATTGTCTGTGTTCACGGACTCAGTCTCACTTGTAGGCATGCTCACTGCAAAGGTCAAAGTGAAGAAAAAGCAAAGAGCTGGTGATTACTTTGCAACACATCTATTAGCAACCAATGACAACGGAAGGGCCAGCTTAGCAAAGAAGTCTGAGTAGCAACATCTGAGCCTTATGCATTGGGCCCTACCAAATTCATGGTCCATTTTTATCAATTTCACGGTCACAGGGTTTAAAAAATCATAAATTTCATCGTTTCAGATATTTAAATCTGAAATTTTACAGTATTGTAACCGTGGGGGTCCCGACCCAAAAGGGGGTTGTTGTGGTGGTGGGGTCGTAAGGCTATTGTAGGGGGGTCACTTACTTCTTCACTGCTGCCTTCAGAGCTGGATTGCTGGAGGACGGCTGCTGGCCAGGCACCCCGCTCTGAAGGCGGCGCCATTGCCAGCAGCAGCACAAAGGTGAGGGTCACATGGTAGGGGGACGGGTTGCCACTTTTTGGGGGGTGGCAGGGCCAGCCTTATGGGTGGGTGCCAGGGTCAAGAGGATGCTGTGGTCATCTCTCACCATACACAACCAGCCCAAGGCCCCTTTGACCCTGAGCACTGGACCTGGAGCCCGGAAGGGGCAGAGCTGAGGATGTCCCAGCCAGGAGCTCCTACTGTGTGCCAAACGCCAGCTGCTAGTCCTGCCGGGCTGCTGCTGGTGGCAGCGCTGCCTTCAGAGCTGGGCTCCCACTCAGCAGCCGTTGAGCTTCCTGCAGCTGGGGGAGGTTCCTGGACGTGGGTCTGACCCGGCCCCAGTAGTAGCTCCTGCAGAGTAAAAGGAAGTCCCATCCCTTCCCATCCTGGCCAGGACTAGCAGCTGGAGCCTGGTGCAGGGTAGGAACCTCTGGGTGGGGTGCTAGTCCTGCCCTCCTCTACAATAGCCAGATTTCACGGGGGAGGCCAGATTTCACGGTCCGTGATGCGTTTTCCATGGTCATGAATTTGGGAGGGCCCTACTTATGCAGTTTGCTGAGCAAGTCTGTGGCCTTATTGCATAGGTCAGGCCATGCAGGTATAGCTTAAGTATATACACAAGTTCCCCAACCAGAAAAGAGTGGGACAAGAGCTGCAGCTCTGCTTCTTTCAGTGAATTAGTCCCTTGAAAGTTTATAAATAGGATCAATGGAAACTGGAGGGAAAATTTGGCAAAACCACCAAAGAGATTAACAGTGAAACGTTTAAAAAACCCATTCCTTTATTTATGCATGGTCTACATTTTTTAAAATAAATGATATATGTTCTGGTGAACTGAATGCCAATGAAAAGTACCAGAGTCACAGTTCTTGTGACTGAAGTCCTCTGTTATCTGAAAAGCAGCTATAGCACAAGCGGCAGTGATGCTATCCTCCACTGTGCCTCAACCTTACACCTGAAGGAATGGGTCTCTAGGATTGAGAGAGTAGCTCAGTTTCTATGGCCCAGTCAATCTTTGGCCCGACCTTCTAGAGTTTCCAACAAGGAAGCTACTGAATCCTGACTGTGGTGGAGTTTTTGTGTGAACACCTGTCAATTAAGAACCTGGCTGAGTCCACTAACTCATTAAATATATGTCACTGAGCAGCCATTATATTGTAATCCACATCTACCTGATCTGTTTTTGAATAGGGGACTGACTTCCTAGACCATTATCAATCCCCTAAACCTTTCATTCCACCAAGAGTTCATGGAACAAGACAGCTCCAACTGAGTAGGTGCTTGTGTCCCTTGTTTGGAGAATTAAAATACCTCCTTAGCATATATCTGTCTGAGGTCGTGTGGCACATAGGATAGCACTTCTCCCCATGTGCCTTTCCTCCCTACTTTCCAAATACACAAAATGAATTAAAGACAAAGAAATGACTCTTCAAGCTGAATGGCATGATAGGGGTTGGACAGATGTCTGATAGGGTGTCAGAACATGACCTACGTTAGCAGCTGAACAGATGTCAGTGGGACTTTAGAGTATGCCATGTATTAGCAGCTGGAAAGATATCTAATGGGTTGTCTGAACATGTTGTGTATTACTAAGAACACAGCTATTGTTAGCAATAAAACAGACATCTGATGGGCCACCAGAGCAAGAGCTAAACTAACACCAGGAGATAAACCTGATGGTCCTTTCAGGGTATGCTCTGCATTTGCAACTAGGGAGATGTCCAATGGGCCATGAGACCAGGTCCTCTTTTAGCAGCTGGAGAGAGATCTGATGGCCCTTCCAAACATATCCTGTATTCTTGTTTCAGTGCAGAGTCTTCCCTCTTTTTCAACCTAACAATCTCTAGCATTTCTACTTTGTCTCTTATGGAGAGCTAAATTTCTTAGATTGTGTTTTTGAGCACTGAATGAAATATTTGACACTGTGGCACTTAATCCAACATGACCAAATGCATTGCTCCAAGTGTGTCCACTCCTTTACATAATCTTATGAGCTGGGTGAAATCTTGTTATGGGTTGAGTTAAAACCCCATTGAGATTGAGAGGTGTGAACGCACCATTCAATTAACATTACTGTAAGCATAAACCCCCACTTAAAACAAGAAGAGTGTGTGAAATCTGCCCAGGAGCTTTTGGCTGAGTATTGCTTTGGATAGGGGTGAGTGTGGGAGGGGAGAGGAGACAACAGACTGAAAAAGACAAGAACAGAGAGGCAGATGCAAAATGCTAGAAAGCCTAGCAGTAGCCTGTAAGCACAAGGTGACGCTGGAAAAAAGGTAGAAGAGAGTGACTTTGGATCTGCTAGCTAGCAAGGCTTGGGGCTGTAAGCTAAGAAACTGCTCCTTTTGTTCTTTCTTTCTCCTGGGTTTGTAGAAGGAAGATTTTGTACATTCCTTGTAAATAAACAAGATTGCAACAAAGAAAATACCAGACTCCATCAATTTCTACTTCCAACTGGAACATTTCTAGGGTCCTGAACTTTGATTAGCTGCTTAGGTCAAAAAGGGGCAACAATAACATATGTGCTCTTATTGTCTTATTTGCTTGGAGAAACAACCCAAGAAGCCAGCTACATTAATATTTTGATGCACAAGAAACCGCCAAGCAAACTGAAAAAGAAACCGAGCCACAAGGTTAACTTTTGATCATACAGTCTGACCCCCCCTCTAGGAAAACAAAACAGAGTTATTTGGTACATAATCTTCAGATATGAAGTGAAGCACCTTCAAGACATATTTGAGCTTGATTGCAAATGGAAAACAGTTTTGAAGATATTAGAAAAAGGTTGCTTTGCAATAGGAGTTATTACCTCAAACACATATACAGGACACTGCACAAGCAATAGAAGGAGTGAGGCACATACATGCTTAAATATACTTACATACAATATATATACATATATACACACGTTATGGACACAGAACGCAGTGGAACATTACCATGGGTTTCTGTGGAGTGACTAAACCAAGCAAACTTCCCTTTCTTCTTATCAGGCAAGCCAGCAGGAGTGCTTCCTTTCACAGACAAGATGGTCAGTGTCAAGTACCAGGAACAAGACATCAATAGAGAGCATGCAGCCAGTGACAGGCAAAAGAAAAAACAAGGAACTCAGCTTACACATATGACATCCACTTCTGTCTGAAAACTTCATCATGAATTAAAAATACAAAATGGAAAATAAAGGCATATGGAAGTATGAAATATTACAACATACACTGTCAGAGGAGAATCCTCCCTTTCTTTCTGCTCTTAGTTACAAGCTGAATCCTGCAAGCATCAAACCATTGAGTTAAAGTTGTGGGCCAAATCCTTGTCCCACTGACGTTAATGGCAACATTCCCGAAGAGCGACTAATCTAGCTATCTGTGCTCCAAACTGTGATTGCCTTGCTCCTGGGAGTAGTCCCATTGAAGTCAATGGGACTTGTTGCATAAATAAGGCAATCACAATTTGTCCCCAAGTTATATGGCTGCATTGTGGGCAATGGGGCCAGGATTTGGACTAGCCCATGTTTGAATACACATTTGTTTGATTTCCTCCGCTGGGTTGGCAATGGTACTTGAAAGCTCTTGGTGGACTGCTGTGAATGCAATTCTCTGTTTTATGCCGATTTCCAGAGATTAAAAACATCTACCAAGCAGGCCCAGAGGAGCTGAACAACAGAGTCATGCCCAGACTGAAATAAGAGTGATGAGTCTTTTTCCCACACTATGTCTCCTGCTTTCCACCTGAAGTTACATTGAGCATCCGCCCACTGACGTTCTGGTGTGTGGGTTTGTATGGCATTATAAAACACCGATCCACTGTTTATTACACACAAGTGGCCAGATCCTCCACTAATCTTGCTTCTGCTCTCTGCAGGCGGGTCTGCCTGTCCTAAATTCGAGTAGACCAGGTGGGCGAGGTAATATTCTTTATTGGACCAACTTCTGTTGGTGAGAGACAAGCTAATTAGAGTGCGCTGAGGGCTGCACTGCAATGGCCACAAAGGCTCAAATTACAGCCAAGGATCAGCATAGTAAAGACGTAGTCAAACTGTGGCTTGCACTCTTTTACAGTTAAAGGGCGGCTCCTGGAGCCCCCCACCTACCCCTCCACCATTCTCCGCCTACAGGACTGGGAAGGGGGGAGCTCGGGGCTTCTGCCCTATGGCGGGGTGGTGGGACGAGGGGCTTTTGTCCTGCAGGGAGGGGAGTCTAAGGGCTTTAGCTCAGTGCAGGGGCATCAGGCCCACACCCCTGCAGGCACTGTCCCGCGGGGCAGATTGTGCGTGTTTTGCAGCTCTGGAACTTCTGAAGATTATTGTATGCAGCTCGTAGGGTCAGTAAGCTTGGCCACTCCTGGCATAGCACATTGTCATGCACTCGGGCGTGGCTACATTAATGCAATTTTTAGTTGTAAAACACAACATAGGTGGAAGATGTTCACAGCAATAAATGCGATAAATCTCTATGCGTATGCCAGAGGAACCACGGCCTAGAGGTTAATGTGCAGGACAGACAGGAGAACGGGGCTCATAACCCCAGCTCTGCTACAGCATCCCTAGGCAAATCACTTTAACCTTTCTGTGCCTCATCTCCCCCAT